TATAAATATATTAGTTGATAAATAATTTTATTTTTCTAATTAATATTAAAAATAATTTTATTATTGTTATAAAGATAAATATAAATTATTTTTTTATACATACAATATGGATGTTAAATCGAAGCTCATCAAAAGAAGATTAATTTGATATATTACATATGTAAAATTGATAAAAAATACAAAAGTTATTAATTTTTAAAATATATATACAATTCAATAATTATAATAAAGAATGATATTAAAATGCAATTAATACATGTAACATGACCATAAATAATCAACATATTTATGGTAATCTGAACCTAATTATTTTTGGTTTGGAATTAAATTAAAATTTAGTCAAGCCTAATAACGAAGCATGTTATTTTGCCACATAGGATTCCGAAGCACAAGAAGCAGCCACGTAGGTTTAGCGCGTTCTGTATTAATATATAGGGGGAGGGGATGTAGATGTTGATATGTTTAAAATAAAATTAAACAAAATTGCACCAAGCCCGTGCGATGCACGACATGTGCAGTAGTTGATAAAGATGCCATTTTCTAAGGCTACATTTATTCGTGACCCAACGAGTGGGTCACGGAATAAAACAAAAAAAAAATTAAAAAAAAAATGAAAAGGTCACCAATTTTGAGCGACCCAGGTCACAATGTGACCTCGGGTCACGATCGGTTATTGGGAAAAAAATGGGACACTTGTCCCATTTTGATTAGATAAGTGTATTTTTTTGTTTAAAAAAATAATATCACAAATTCGTATCTATTCATTCTTTACAAATAGATATCACACTTGATATATTTTGGAATCAAATTATAATTTTTTAATAAATTAAATTAAAATAAATATTTAGATTGAGTTGGGTTGGAGATAAAGATAAATTAGGTTGAAAGATTGAGTTGTATATGTGAAGGAGAGAGAAATAATTTTTAATTATTAGGTTGAATTGAATTGAGTTGGAGATAAAGATGGTCTAACTAAAAACAATTTTAGTAGGAAGATTTAAAATTTCAGACCTA